CGGTGCATGGCAGATTTTGTGCGTCTAAGAACAGCTAAAGAAAACAATGTGGCTGCTTGAATGTAGCCATTAAACACGTCTGAGTTGTTTAATTGGTTTGCCAAAGGGAGACGCAAGTGGGTACATGGAAAATGTAACCTTTTCTATTACTCTGTTTCTCTGTCATTCTCCTGTCTCCAGAGAGGCCTCAAATTCCCTAAAGCTATAAAACTCTGAGTAAGTCACTCTCTGTAGTCATAGCAGGGCAGTTGTGGTTATGCTAACCAAATGTTTGCTGCTCTTGGTTTATTGGAGGAAAGATCAAACAGTGCAATAAATAAGCAAGCAGGATAGTTCTTAGAAACACAAATGTATTTACAGCTGTAGTCTTGCTTACAATACACTATACAGTTTGTTATTTTGACAAATTAAACTTTGATATAAATAAATGTGATTCAAGACCATGTATGCAAATAGCATACAATCCAGGCACCCCTGCTTTATATTTCGAATACCATTATTTGACTAGAAAGAGGCCAGGATATTTGGAACAGCAGGAATCTGTTTTGTGGCGTTCGTGGAAATGTTAGATGACCTTTTTGTTCATATATTGGTTTACAGGCTGAGGAACAAAAAGTCAGAAAATGGTTTTCATTAAACCCATTTGCATGAGTTGGGTATTTAATACTGTAAGTCCGCATACTTTGGGAAATTTGGAAAGCGGCTTGCACATTAAAATAAATCAGAGGGTTAAGAGCCTGTAAAATTTGCTATAAATTCCAATTGAGATAATGGTAAAAGGCAATTGTGTGCAGTAATAAACTACTTGAAATAAGTGACGATTAAGCAACTTTAGACTGAATAACTATACTTCGTACTTAACTTTTACTTTATCCACACACATTTTACTTTCTACTGTATTTATTTGGATTTTATGGCAATGCATAACCATGTGCAAGAAATTGAAGTAGTACTATATAAAATACATATATATTTTAATGCTAAGTTAAAATTTCAAATTACTTGATCATTATTATAGAAAGTCTTATAAATACATTTGATAAATAAGTTCAACTTTCTCTTTTAAAAAGTAGTAAACATTATTAAAACACTATTTCTAGCCACGGGCTGCAGACAGTGTATATATTTAAATAAATGCACTTATATAATAGGTGAATTTGTGTTTGGTTTCCACTTTGTGCCAAGCATGATTGGGTTAACCATGGTTTATAAAATAAACCACAAGCGGCTGGATTCATACAACATGCAAAGCATAAACCTTGGTTTTTAGGCTACACTGGGTTCACAATATGGTAAGCCAAAACTAAGCTATATGGCCTATAAGCCAGTCTCAGAGTTTATGTGTGTGTATGTGTGTCTGTATCACATTCCTATTCTGTGTTTTATCATAACTATTGGAAACTGCTTGAAGAAAGTCTTAACTACAGTGTCTTTAGCTTACAGATGACACCAAGATCTTTTTTCATTATATCCAGATTCTGATAAATTCTGAACTAATATCTGATGACTGGCTGAGTTTAAACAACTTGAAATTTACTCCTGACAAAGTGGCAGAGAGTCTGAAGGGGGCAAGTGGGGAAAAATGACAAAATGACCATTGCACTGTCTTCACAAAAGCTCTGTCTCTTTTGTATTTGTGTTGTGACATTCCATTCATGTTCAAAAGTGGTGGAGCTTGTGTTGTGACATCACATCACTCATTTCATCATTTGATGAAATCATTAGATACCAAGGGCACCTCTGCTTATGATCCTAGATGAGGAATTCTGTGTATAATGAATAGGTTACATTTCTTGCAAACCCACAGGTTTACAGTCTGGGACAACTTCTGGACATAGCATTCATTCTTATTTATGTTGTATATCAATTTATTCTTTTCTGGAGAAATCTAATCTAGTTTAAGCATTTAAGATCTTGTCAGCTTCTGAACCCAAGCGTAACACTTACACTTTCTTTGCATATGCTACTATTGATCTGCCAGATACCTGCAATCCACTCTGTCCTTGCTAACCTGAACATCCTTGTCATCTTAGTCTCATTGATTGTAAACTGGCAAACTCAAGAGTTAAAGACTGTTACTTTTTCTGGAAGAATCTCTTATGTTAGCAAATGGTGGGGAATTCCTTTTTATTTTTATTGGGCTTTTTACTTTTATTGGAGGATTTCCCCCCCCCCTTCTTTTTCTGAGATACTTCTTCACACACTCATGAAATGTCCTGATAGGGCATGGGTACTTCCTGTATTTATGTCATTCATTTTCATACTGCATCTGGATTCTAGAGCTCATTCAACACAGCTTATTATGAAGGAGAGCATCTTTCCAGTTGAAGAATATACACTAAGCTACTGAAGAACTACAAACGATGGGTTCAGAACTCAGCCTCTGGCAAGAGTATAATTTTTGTACTATAAACAATATGGCACAATAAACTGAAGGCCATAGTATAAGAAATAAATGGTATCCATTACAAGTTAGCTATGAAGATTAATTCAAAAACAGTACAGTTTATATTCAGGTTGCTATTGGAGTAACCTAATAAAGATGTCATTAAAACAATAGCACTGTCTCTGTGTTTTCAAAGTGTTTGCATATAATTGCTACTTTTTAAAATCAGAGGAATTATATATACAGTACATTTCATTTCAGTAGTACTTTCTTTCTGAATTGATATAGAGTATCTTCCTTGTTTGATATTCTTTAAAGATACAAATTACTTTTTTTCTCCTAATGGAAGTCAAATAAATGTTTCATTAGGCCAGTTGGATAACTTCACCAACCTTGCTGATAAACAATGAAATGGAAAATCTCTCAATAAATGCAAAAACTTATTTAAATTCATCACATGCAGCATTTTTTTCTTTTGGGATTTACATAGCCATTTGGCATAATTATCCTCTCTTTGTATGATCTTTTATAAAGGAAATAAAGCATATTTTATCTTTGCAAGCAAAGAACAAGGAGACAAAGCATATTTTATTCCTTTCAAATTCCAAGGGTGATGATAAGGAGCCATTAGATAACATTTCAATCAACTGTCATATTTTCTAATTGAAAAATAAAGACATAGAGCAAAGGAAGCAGAATTCTCTTCCTATAACTTTCATAATTTGGTGTATATTTTTCAGTTTCCCTTATCAGTTTTCAGTCATGAATGCACATTTCTATTTTATGGTTTACCTTGCCACTTTGCAATTACCCCATCTCATTTAATGCAGCTAGCAAATGAATTTACACCTCACCCTCTCTACACCAGACCTACAAACTTCATAGCAATAATTCAGTCAAAAGAGAAAGAGAAGTGGGAATGTAAGGGAGCAAAGGAAGTTGTACAGCATTAAGAAAAAAGATACTGTTTACCTTTTGTTACATTTATTTTGCATAGTTTTGAAAATCACAAATATCTGACTGGGATTATGGAAGGAAGGAAGGAAGGAAGGAAGGAAGGAAGGAAGGAAGGAAGGAAGGAA